AGAAGTATTTCTGAAAATAGCTGCACCCCTGAAGCTTAGGACAGTACATCCTCCACAGTGGAAGCCCTACCTTAACAAAGAGTTTAAAAATCCAGTAATTGGCTGGGAACATGAGCAAACAGTGCAAAAAACTCTCAGACTACAGAATCTAACTTTGGTGACAAAAAAAGATCAAAACATACAACCAGAAGGAGACAACAAAGTCAAAGCTCCTACAACCAAAGCCTCCAAGAAAAATATGAATTGGTCCCAGGCCATGGAAGACCTCAAAAAGAATTTTGAAAAGCAAGTAAGAGAAGTAGAGGAAAAACTGGGAAGAGAAATGAGAGTGATGCAAGAAAATCACGAAAAACAAGTCAACAGCTTGCTAAAGGAGACCCAAAAAAATACTGAAGAAAATAACACCTTAAAAAAAAAGACTAACCCAAATGGCAAAAGTCCAAAAAGGAAATGAGAAGAATGGCTTAAAAAGCAGAATTGGCCAAATGGAAAAGGAAGTCCAAAAGATTACTGAAGAAAATACTTCCTTAAAAATTAGAATGGAGCAAATGGAAACTAACGACTCTATGAGAAATCAAGACATTATAAAACAAAACCGAAATAATGAAAATATAGAAAACAATATGAAATATCTCAATGGAAAAACAACTGACCTGGAAAATAGATCCAGGAGAGATCATTTAAAAATTACTGGACTACCTGAAAGTCATGGTCAAAAAAAGAGCCTAGACATCATCTTTCAAGAAATTATCTGACCCTGGGCAAGTCACTTAATCCCAATTGCCTAAAAAAAAAAAAAAAAAGAAATTATCAAGGAAAACTGCCCTGATATTCTAGAACCAGAGGGTAAAATAGAAACTGAAAGAATCTACCAATCACCTCCTGAAAGAGATCCCCAAAGGAGAACCCCTAGGAATATTACAGCCAAATTCCACAGTTCTCAGGACAAGGAGAAAATATTGCAAGCAGCAAGAAAGAAACAATTCCAGTATTGTGGAAATACAATCAGGATAACACAAGATTTAACAGCTTCTACATTAAGGGATCAGAGGGCTTGAAATATGATATTCCAGAGGTCAAAGGAGCTAGGATTAAAACCAAGAATCACCTACCCAGCAAAACTGAGTATAATCCTTCAGGGGAAAATATGGAAATTCAATGAAATAGATGATTTTCAAGCATTCTTAATGAAAAGACAGAGCTGAACAGAAAATCTGACTTTCAAATACAAGACTCAAGAGAAGCATGAAAAGGTAAACAGGAAAGAGAAATTATAAGGGACTTACTAAAGTTGAACTGTTTACATTCCTACATGGAAAGATGATATTTGTAACTCATGAGACCTTTCTCAGTATTAGGGTAGTTGGAGGGAAAATATATATTTATATATAAAGGGATGAGAGAGAACTATACTGGGAGAAGGAGAAAGGGAGAGGTAGAATGGAGTAAATTATGTCACATAAAACAGACAAGAAAAAGCTTTTACAGTGGAGAGGAAGAGGGAGGAGGTGAGAGGGAATGAGTGAATCTCATCAAATTTGGCTTAGGGAAGGAATAACATATACACTCAACTGGGTATGGAAATCTATCTTACCCTACAGGAAAACAGGAGGAAGGCAGGGATGACAGAAGGGGGACAGCAGATTTGGAGAGGGGGTAATCAGAAGCAAACACTTTTGAGAAGGGACTCTCAAAGGAGAGAATAGAATAAATGGGGGGTGGGATAGGACGAAGGGAAATATAGTTAGTTTTTCACAACATGACTATTATGGAAGTGTCTTGCATGACTACACATGTATAACCTATATCAAGTTGCTTGCCGTCTCAGTGAGGGTGGGTGTGGAGGGAGGATGGGAAAGAATTTGGAACCCAAAGTTTTAAAAACAAATGCTAACATTGTTTTTACATGCAACTGGGAAATAAGATACACAGGCAATGGGGTATGTAAATCTATCCTGCCCTACAGGAAAACAGAAAGGGAAGGAGTAAGAGAAGTGGGGAGCGGGGTTTGATAGAAGGGAGGGCAAATTAGGGGAAATGATATTCAGAATGCATGCCATCTTGGGATGGGGGAGGGACGACATGGGGAGAAAATTTGGAACTCAATTTTGTGGAAGTGAATGCTGAAAACCAAAAATAAAGAAAGAAAGAAAAATAAAATGCCTTTAGTAAGCAGCAGGGATGAGCTACTTTAATAAGCAGCTCATCTTCTGAGATAGGTGATAAGGAAGAGAGAGAGAGAGCATAGTAATTTTAAAAGGAGGAGAGAAGGAAGGATTATAGGATAGTTACTTTGTTTTTCCCCATTTAACAGTATTTTATTTTTTCCAGTTACATGCAAAGATAGTTTTCAACATTTACTTTTACAAGATTTTGAGTTCCAAATCTTCTTCTCCCTCCCCATCTTCTCCAAAAAGGCATGCAATCTGATATAGGCTATACATGTGCAATCATATTAAACATATTTCCACATTAGTCACGTTGTGAAAGAAGAATCAGAACAAAATGGAAAAACCACAGGGAAGAAAAAAACAAAAAACAAAAAAGAGAGAAAATAGTATGCTTTGATCTGCATCCAAATTCCATAATTCTTTCTCTGGACATCAACATTTTCCATCATGAGTCCCTTGGAATTGTCTTAGGTGACTGTACTGCTGAGAAGAGCTAAGTCTGTCAAAGTTGGTCATCGCACAATGTTCTCCTGGTTCCACTCATTTCACTTTGCATCAATTCATTTAAGTCTTTCCAAGTTTTTCTGAAATCTGCCTGCTCATCATTTCTTATGGAACAACTTCATATATCACAACTTGTTCAGCCATTCCCCAACTGATGTGCATCTCCTCATTTCCAATTCTTTGCCACCACAAAAAGAGCTACTATAAATATTTTTATACATATGGGTCCTTTTCCCTTTTTTATGATCTCTTTGGGATACAGACCTAGTAGTGGTATTGCTAGATCAAAGGGTATGCACAGTTTGACAGCCCTTTGGGCATAGTTCCAGATTGTGGAGAGTTACTTTGGAAGGTGTCAGTCTCAGTGAAAGGAGGGTCATCTGCTATGGAAGCGAGGGAAAGAAAGAGAAAACTAGAAAACAAGAGAAGGAGGGAAGTGGGTGAAGAAGACAGGAAGGGAGAGAGGGGAGAATGAGGGAAGAAGGAAGGGAGAGAGGAAGAAAGAAGAAGAAAGAAAGTAAAAGAAAGAAGAGAGACAAAAAGCAGAAAGAAAGGTAAGGTCCTGTGACTGGTATCTATGCAAGGAAAAGAGAAAAGAGTCAGGGAAGCAGAGGTAAATTGCATTGAGCACAGAGCATGTTATAATAGAACAAGACAAAAATAAATATGTAATTAAAGATCAAAGCTTTGAACGAAATAAACTCACCCATAAAAGAGGAAAGCAGAATCAAACAATACGTTGTTTACAAGAAAACACACTTTAAACAAAGATTCACATAGTTAAAATAAAGGGCTACAGCAAAATCTACTACACTTTATTAGATCTTGCACATCCTCCTTTGTAGCTAACCTTAAGTAAAGTAGGAATTATTCCAGTCCCATACTTTCACCCTCTTTAACCAATTACTGAACTCAAAGATTCAAAAAAACAGATCTGGAAGTAGAGGTGGCAGATAACATCTTGCTCTCCAGCAATCCCCATCCTCATACCCCCTCAAATGAAGAATCATCTCCAAAAAAGAAAAGAGACTTTCCCTATACAAAAAGAGAAAGTTGGGAAGCGATCTTTGAGGGGACTGGTCTATCATCACCCTAGTCTGAACACAGATTAGGAACATGGCAGCATCCTGCTCTAGCCTCTAGCCAACTGTTTAGAATATCTTCTTAATGTATCTCTTCTACACATGAGTCTTGTCTATTGGATTCCTCCTCTTCCTATCTCCAGTGTAGATCCTGGGTTACCACATAATCACTCATTTGGAGAAGCATTTGCTGTCAAATGTAGGAATTGAAATGGGTAGGAGAAGCAGATTAAGTCTCTTTTCCTATTTTAAAACTCAAAAATCACACAAAGAACTCTCATTCCAACTGCTGCAGTGAGTGGCCATGACTTAGATCTCTGAAAATCCTTCCAACTCTAGAGTTCTATAAGTCTATGATTCCATAGAACTTGGGAAATTTTCTGGAATCAAAGAAACACTGAGTCACAAAGGGAGAGTAAATTCATGGGTATAGATGGAGTGTCATCAGTTTTTTTACAGATACCAAAAAGGATTCTTCATTAACATGAAGTGGGAACAAGATTCTTGTGGAGGGTTGAGGGTGTTGGGGGGTGGTAGGAATGTAGCTGAATAAATGTTTCTTTCCAAAAGATAGGTGACTATAGTCAAATAATTTCCCCTCTGAAGTTTTGCTTGAATAGGAACTATAAAGATTTTTCTATAAAGAAAACTATGACTGACTCCAGATCAAATAATTCAATTTCATCAAAAAATATGTCCTGTATAGGATGCTATCAAGAATGTCCTTGTCCTACTGCTACAGTAGCGAAAGGACATAGGTCATAACTACATTAACCAATCAATCTTTGCTTCGTTCATGCTTTATGCTTCTTATCATTCATGCACTGAATCTAAAGAGCATGTCATAATTTTGGAAAGAGGAAATACATATTAGGATCTAACAACAGAACACAAATGAATAAGGGTATTGGGGGAGGGGCAAGAGAGTAAAGATCAGGAAGAGAAGTAGAGTCTGTTTCTTTCTTTGTTGCCCAAAGGAGTCCTAGTAGAATTAGTATAACTGAACATTGCCCCTGATTCAATTTTGTCATAAGAGATTAATGAGAAAGAGGGTTTCTGAACGGAGAGTAAAGTCTCTGGGTTAGTTTCAAGGATGTATGGACCTTGTTATTAGGTCATTCTCTCCATAATTACTACTATGTGTCAAATTTGTGTCTGTATGATGGACACAAGTTAAGAAGATGTCCTACACAACCCAATGGAGAGCCTCAACTCTTGTGAAGTTTAAATGAGCTGACAATACCTTAGAGATGTAATACACACACTGCTGGAATGTGTACATGATCACTTCCTCTAAAACTGTCATGGCTTCCTCACTGGCTGTGATGGTTGAAGAAAACAGTGACTCCTTAGAACCTAAAAGGAAACAGCAACACATAGTGTGAGGACAGGAAAGGAAGGGTAAACATCTCTAAGGTGAGTGAAAAAGAATTCAGGGCTGAAAGTGGTTTTGGCCACAGTCAGACCAAACCGAATTTGTATCAGCTCGTTAGAAGAAACTAATAGGCAAATTGTAAACAAAATAGGGTACCATCTGTACCTCATGCATTTTTTGTAATGAGATAACCCTACTAGTGGGTAAGGGACAAAACAGATTTTAACCCAAATCAGGAGAAATACTGCCAAAAAGACAAATTTCAGTTATGGACATATGATCCAAAGAAATACAATGAAAGGTTTCAAAAGAAACCACCAAATCTTTCAAATTAGAATATTTTAAAAAATAAATGAGGGGGGAACCTCTCTTTTATTTATATTCTTTCACATAGGTTTTAGCAGATGATGTTATTTCTACTTCTCAGAAGGGAGATGGCATCTCCCCAAATCATGTGATGCTCCCAACCTAACAAAAGGAGTTAGTAGTAGCGTCAGAAGCAAAACCAAGGCTCTTCCTGCTCTTTCCTGGCAGCTCTCAAGTCAAACTGGGATGTCAAATATGCAACAGGATCCTTGAAACTATTCTGTTCTTTAATCACTTAAACCAGAACACCAATGAAGAACTGAAACTCTACCTTGGTGTTGGATAATAAAAAAGAACACTGTATAAAGTGGTTAGCAAGGAACAATCAAATCCTGAATTATTAAAATATTAATGGAAACTCAATATATCCCATGTGCATCCGGATCTTGCTGTTTTCCTTCCCACAGGACTTTCATCCCAAGTAGATACTGGTGACCTCTCCTCATCCCTAATCCTGAAAGCTCATTCCAACAGCTCTACAGAGCACTGTTTATTCACTCAGCACACATGAAGGCACTAGGGAGCTAAAGTCCTGTCAAGCTTGCCAAACCAGCCCCACCCTTGGTTTTTCCCTATGTAGCCAAACGGCACATTCCTTTCCATTATCCAACTGAGCTTTTCCACAAAGGTACAGCCAGCAACCATCTCATGTCAGATTTCTGCAGAAGTTTTGCTGCTGCTCACTTATTTGGTTGTTAATATCCTGCTGGTTGGGTATTAAATCCCATCTACAATAACCCTTCTGCTGGTCTTCACCTCATTTAATTATATAAACTAATCCTGCAGAATGACGATAAATTAATATTTCTTGCTAGACAGTATAAGTACAAATAACTTATTTGAAAGTGTGAGTCCAGCATTCCAATAAAGCACAGGATTCATACACCACAGAATATGGTATAGAGGGGCCAATGTACTCCTGGGATATAAGGTAAGTTGTTCATTATTTAATTCCATTAACTCATGCTTTTCTGCCCTGAAAGACTTTCTGAAAAGCTCAATTCAAAATCTATTGTATAACTATGAGGTGTCAAAGGAGTAGACAAGAAGGCTAAAAGAACTGGATCTAACAAAATTAACAGCTTAATTATAAATATTTATCTCAGGGATTTTCACAGAAACACAGATCACTTCATTGAAATATATTCATTACTAGTGTGCCAGGCATTTCAAAGAATCTTCACTATTGCTTTATAGACCAATCAGATAACCTCACGCATACTGTAAGATGACAAACAAGTCACTTGCTATCCATCTACAGTCTATACTGGCTTCCAGAGACACTGACTAGGACAAATCTTGCTTTCTGTTCACAGGCTATGACCGATTGTTTGGGCTACATTTGAGAACTGACTAATTCTAAGTGCCCAAATAAATCAGCACCAAGGGCTGAAGAGTGATCCAGAAAAGCCTAAAAGTATAAAATGAATGTGCCAGAAACATATAAAATAAACAATGTGATGAATCTCTTTCTTTTATGTACCTGTATGTAAAATAAGAGTTCCTTCTTACAAAAGTTTCAGACTAACACTTTAGGTAACTTCTCTAGGTTGTAAAAAACGGTATTTTAAACTCTCTCAGGACATGACATCTTTGTTTTTAAAATTCTTCTCACAGATATTTCCTGTGGGTCAAGAGGCTAAAAAGCTGATTTTAACCTTTCCTTAGCCCTCTTGCTGTTGCTATTTTTTCTTCTAAGTTCTTTGGAGTCTGCTATTATCATAACATTTATTTGTCTAACTTTCAAAAATCCTGCCTCTGCTTCCCACCACTCCATTTTCATGCCCAAAAGCTTCCCTTATTCTACAATTTTCCTTACTAAGTATGAGAGTTGAGGGTCAAATGATAAGACTAGCAAGTTGCTAACAATCTATAAAGATCTAAACCCTATTCAAGCCATAAACCCAAGAATTATCTCCCTGACAGTATTTATGGTTTTCTTCTCTTGGAGGTGGTTCAGACAAAAAAAAATGACTAAAGAAACTGACCTTTTTCTCTGCACTAAACCACTGGCTCCTCAGTTTTATGAAGACATCCTTTTTCCATGAAAAACAGCAAACCACATAGCCAAAAAAATCCACCATTTAACTCTTTGAGTAAGGAAAGGGAAAACCCAGGAGCAGGCCAACCAAAAATCATTTTAAGAGCCCTATCTATGTTATTATGTCTTGCAGAATACCAATAAGAAGAGGACTATGAAAGAGAAATTTAGTGTAAAAGTTTATGAATTTGAAGTGTAAAAGAGAAAAGGAATCCAGTTTCCAAAGCTTATGATAGGATATGAAGCAATGCTATCACTTTCCCAATGTTATGACTGTCTCCCTAATTTGGATCCAAAGTAGCTAAATAACACTCCCACAAACATTTCATCAAGTCCTTCTTAACAATCTGGGGTTTTATAGATTTTCTTGAGTCAGACACTGCTCCAGATGCTCTTGCATGTCAAAGCCCCAACTGGTATCTCCTTTGGAGCTGGGGTCTCTAAAGGGCTCTGAGAGTAACCCATTCCCAAGGGGGCCAGATGGTCTTTGACAAAATAAGAACAACTCCTTAAGATATGAAGAATATTAAATGTCTATCGATGTTGAAAGCTGAATTGGAATAATCTCCATAAAGCAGGCAGGGCAAATTCTAAGGACACCAGGTCACTAGACAGAATTTCCAGGGGGTTGGACCTCCCCAACAGAAGGGACCAAAAGGCAGAAATTATTTCATAGGACAACAAAGACATTACCTGAGTGGTTGCCCAAGCTTAAAGTTCTTCAACAGATTTTCTCAAAAAACTTAAAGGACCTATGTCTAAGTATGAGGAAACATTCTACCATTTCACTGTCCATTGGCCAAACTATACATCGGCACTATATATTTTTTGTTGCTCAGTCATTTCAGTTGCGTCTTGACTCTTTGTGACCCTATTTGGGGTTTCCTTGGCAAAGATACTGGAGTGGTTTGCCGTTTCCTTCTCCAGCTCATTTTACAGATGAGGAAACTGAGGTAAACAGGACTTGCCTCAGGTCACATAGCTAGTAAGTGCCTGGGGCCAGATTTGAACTCAGGAAGATGAGTCTTCCTGATTTCAGGTCCGGCATTCTATCCACCACACCACCTAGCCGCCCCCTAAATTTTTTGAGCCTGTGGGAAAATAACTTATTTTAAACTCTCATCAGGAAAGAATGCCCTCCCCTCCTTTACATATCATATCAGTACTAGAAACCTAGATAACCAAAGTCCTAGAAACCTTCTAGAATGCTGTACGGTCTCTCTTCCTTGACTACAAATAAAAAGAGAAAAGAAACTGCTAAGAAACCATAACATACTGAGGGAGGAGCCTGGTTAGTCCTAGCCACTCATAGTAACTAGGATCTGTCACCTCCTACTGGACTAGAGTGATTATTTCCTCCATACCAGCCTCTTCACCTCCCAAAAGCCTCTTTCAAAGAGCAATAGTATCAGTCCTATCCCCAAGTAAACTAGTTTGCCATTCCTCAGATTTTTCCCACAGGCTGGAAAATGAGGTTAGCAGAGCTCAAGAGCAAGAAAGCCTGGAATAACTCCCCAGCTGGCATTTACCTCGACCTAGGTCTCTTTGAACATGGCTCCTCTTCCACCCATTTTACAGGCTAGGTGTGCAAGTCTAAGGGAATGCACTTGAGACACAGGCTCTACCAAGAGAAATTAGCAAACTCCCCACAAGCAGATGATCTGCCACCTTCCTTGTCTATGCAGTCTCTACTCCAAACCATGGCTTCCAAAGGGCTCCAAGCAGAATGCCTCAACTGCCCAGTTGATTCTGCCATGAACAGGTTGATCTTATCTGTTAAGAAATTTGTTTCTATTTGGTACCCACTGCACAGAGCCAGACTCTCAGCTACAAGGTTGCAATCACTGAGGTTATTTTTAACAGTTCTGTTCCTTTATCAGGTACTTAGCAATCCAGGATCCTACTGAGTGTCTATGTATGGCATGCTGAGCACTGAGGGTTTGTTTATTTTTACTGGGTTCTCTAAGATGGGCTCTGTTGATTTCTCTCAGGGATATTCAGCTGTATACACAGACTGAGGGCACAATGAAGTCAATGGCAGTTTGGATACTCAGAATTTCCATAGCTATATCACACTTTAGTTCTTTATGCCTTACTTTGTACAACTGAAAAATGAATACGTTAAGATGATAAGTAACAGGTTTAGCACGCTTATGATTCTGTGAGAGAAAGGTGAAGAGTTAATTCAAATGATTATTTTTATTAGAGCAGAGTTGATAGGTTATGTCTTTTGGCTCCATATAAAAAGACTCCTACACTATGCGTATACTGGGTACAAAGGGAAGTCCTCCCTTTCTTCAGAATTTGTCCACTGAGCAAATTCCTCCTGGGAATGGGGCCATTCAGTCAAGGTGATATGAAACTAAAGCTGCCCAATCAATGTCAAATAATAACAGAAAAATCCTACCTCTGACATCCAGCTCCTCTTCCATGCTCTGGATGTAGAGTGGAGATTTCTGCTGGACAAAGTAAAGGAGCTCAATGGAGTTAGACATCCAGAAAAGAATATGCTGGAGGTCTGGCAGTAGGTCAGCAATGGTGAGACGGGAAAGGGAGACAGGATCCTGGCTAATGAAATACAAAGAGGGAGAAGAATGGTTAGTTAAAATTCAGCCCCGAATGTAAGCCTGCAGTGATGGTATAACCTGTGAAAGGGTTCTAGACCAAAGAGGAGTTGGTCACTCACTCTGAATGAACAGAGTTTTCCAGCAGTCTAACTATAATTGAATCCAATAACAACCCACTAAAACTCTTAAACAAGGACAAGCTGAGAGACTCAACCTGAGTCAGGAACTTACAGAGCTAAGATTAGCAGGGCAGTGAATAGATCTTGCCCCAAATCACACCTCTCTAGGAGCACTAAAAGCTTGCAGGCCTCCAGCCTGAGCTGAGAAAACAGAAGGATGTAAAATGACAGAAACTCAGGCCAGACATTCCCCCTTGAAAGTCTGCAGAGCCCAACACTAACAAAGTCCAAAATAAAGAAGTAAGCTGGAAGAATGAGCAAACAAAAAAAAGAATCACACCATAAAGAGTTATTTTAGTAACAGGGAAGCTAACGACAATAACAGAGGAAGAGAATGACATTAAAACACCTACAAGCAATGCCTTAAAGAAAAAGAAAATGTAGCTTGGAAACAAGTCCAATAAGAATTCCTACTATATCAGATTGTGTGCCATCTTGGGGAAGGTGATGGGGAGGAAGGGGGAGAAAAATTTTAAACTCAAAAGCACATGGAAGCGATTATTGATAAATCAAAATAAATTAATAAAGAAAATAATAATAATAAAAAAGAATTCCTAGAACAGTTAAAATAAGAGATTAAAGACAGCTACAAAATTATTTTAAAAACCAAATGAGAGCAGTGGAGGAAAAAATGAGAAAAGCCAGAGCTTGGACAAATACAAAATCTTATTGAAGAAAACAACTTCTTAAAAATCATAATTGGCCAAATGGAAGCTAATGACTCTATGAGACATCAAAAAATAATAAAACAAATCAAAAAGTCTGAAAAAATTGAAGAAAATGTGAAATACCTCAGGGAAAACAACTAAATTAGAAAATAAATTGACAAATATAATTTAAAATCATTTAGAAAGTTGAAAGCTACAAAAAAAGAGCCTATACATCTTAGAAAATCCATCAGTCACCTCCTGAGAAAAACCCTCAAATGAAAATTCCCAGGAATATTATAGTCAAAATTCAGAGTTTCGTGGTTGAGGAAAAAATACTTCAGACAGCTAGAAACAAAGAATTCAAGACTAAGGAACCACAAGTCAGAATCACACAGGATTTAATAGTCACCACTAATGCAGACCTTGAAATACAATATTCTGGAAGACAAAGGATCTAGGTTTACAACCAAGAATAACCTACTCAACAAAACTAAGTGTAATTCTTCAGGAGGGAAAAAATAGACATTTAGTGAAATAGAAGACTTTCAAGCACTCCTGATGAAAAGCCCAGAACTGAATAGAAAACTTGACATTCAAACAGAAAACTCAAGAGAAGCATAAAAAGGTAAACATGAAAGAGTAATCTTAAGAGACTCAATGATGTTAAATGTTTACATTCCTATATGGGAAGATGAGACACCTAACTCCTAAGAACTTCATCATTATTAAGACAGTTAAAAGGAGTTTACGTAGACAGAGTACATGGGTGTGAGTTGATTATTCTGTAATAATCTCCAAAAAACACCCAAAGAGGTGAGAAAGGGATGAACTGGGATAAGGGAGAAGAGATGTAGGATGGGGAAAGCATAAAAGAAGAGTGCAAGGAAGAACTTTTACAGTGGAGGGGAAAATGATGGAGGTGGGGGGCACAATACTTGAACCTCACTTTTATTGGAATTGGTTTAAAGTAAAAACACACACACAGAGTTAAAATAAAGGGCGTGAGCAGAATCTAATATGCTTCAGCTGAAGTAAAAAAAAAAGGCAGGGGTAGCAATCACGATCTCATGCAAAGCAAAAACAAAAACAGACATAATTAAAAGAGATAATCAGGAAAATTACTTTTTTGCTAAAAAGTCAATGAAGTAATATAAAAAAATTTTTACAGCAAGCATCTCTAATAAAGGTCTCATTTATCAAATATACATAGAACTGAGTCAAATTTATAAAAATAAGAGCCATTTCCCAATTGATAAATAATCAAAGGATACAAACAGGCAGTTTTCAGAAGATGAAATCAAAGCTATCCATAGTCATATGGAAAAATGCTCTAAATTACTACTGATTAGAGAAATGTAAATTAAAATAACTCTGTGGTACCACCTCACACCTATCAGAAATGACAAACGCTAGAAGGAATGAAGGAAAAATAGGTACACTAATGAATTGCTGGTGGAGTAATGAACTTGTCTAACCATTCTGAAGAACAATTTGGAACTATGCCTAAAGGGCTATAAAACTGTGCATACTCTTTTACCCTGCAATACCACTACTAGGTCTGTATCCCAAAGAGATTAAAGAAAAAGGGAAAAGACCTGTATGTACAAAAATATTTACAGCAGCTCTTTTTGTAGTAGAAAAGAATTGGAAATCAAGGGGATGTTCATCAATTGGGTATTAGTTGAATAAATTGTGGCATATGATTGTGATGGAGTACTACTGTACTTTAAGAAATGATGGGGGAGGGCAGTGGTTTAAGAAAAAAAATCCCAATACCTATATGAATTAATGCAGAGTTAAGTGAGAAGAACTGGGAGATCACTGAGCACAGTAACAGCAATGTTGTAATGATGATCAACTGTGAAAGACTTGGCTACTCTGATTAATACAAGATAAGGAATTAATCCAAGATAATCCAAAGGACTCACGATGAAAAAATACTCTCCAACTCCAAAGAGAGAACCGATGAACTCTAAGTACAAACTGAAGTATAATTTTCTCACTTTCTTATTTTTTTTTGGAAATATGGCTAATATGGAAATAAATTTTGCATAATTTCCCATGTATAACTGATATCATATTGCTTGCCCTCTCAGTGGGAATGGGAGGAAGGGGTAAGGAGGGAGAGAATTAGAACTCAAAAAGTCAAAAAAAAAAAAAGTCAAAAATAAATAAATTGAAATATTTTTTAAAAAATCAAAAAAAGTGCCAGCATTATCTGCAATGGGGATAAGCTAGAAAGCTTTCCAATAAGATCAGGAGGTAATCAAGGATTATCCATTATCACTATTATTATTCAATACTGTACTAGAAATTCTAGCTATAGCAATAAAAAGAAAAATAATTAAAAAAATAAAATAGGCAAAGAGAAAATAAAATTATCACTTCTGGCAGATATGATAACTTAGAAAACTCTAGAGAGTAAACTTAAAACCTAACTGAAACAATTAACAATTAACAAAGTTACAGCACATAAAATAAACCCACACATTTCTGTATATTACCAACAAAATCCAGCAGGTGGAGATAAATTCTATTTAAAGTAACTAGAGACTATAAAATACAGGGGAATCTACATGCCAAGATACACACATGAACTATACGAACAGAATTATAAAATACTCTTTAAACAGAGACAGCTCTAAAAAATTAAATATTGTTTGTGGGCAGTCCAAGGCAATATAATAAAAACGACAATACTACCTAAGTTAATTTACTTATCCAGTGACATACCCATTAAACTACCAAAGAACTACTTTATAAAGTTAGAGGGAAAAATAACAAAATTCATCTGCAGGAATAAAAGGCCAAGAGTATCAAGGGAATCAATGAAAAAAAAAATGGAAAGGAAGGGAGCCTGGCAATACCTGATCTAAAACTAGACTACAAAGCCTTCATTTATCAAAACAATCTGGTTATGGGTAAGAAATAGATTGATCAGTGGAACAGATTAGGTACACAATATATAGAAGCAAGAGCATAGTGACCTATTACCTGATAAAGTCAAACACTTCAGCTTTGGCAGCCAGAACTCATGATCTGACAAAAACTATTGGAAAAACTGGAAAACAGTCTGGCCAAAACCAAGTATAGACCAACATTTCACTCCGTATACAAACATAAGCTTGGTTTATGTACTTGGTTTAAATGGAAAGGGTGACAATATAAGCAAATTATAGGATCAGGATAAAACTACCAGTCAGATCTATGGATAGCAGAAGGGTTCATGACTAAACAAGAGTGGTTCACTGGAGGTAAAATGAACAATTTTAAACACATAAAATTAAAAAGGTTTTCCACAAATAAAATCACTCCAACAAAAATTAGCAATTTGGAAATATGCCCCCCAAAGCTATTAAATTGTACATACCTTTTGACCTAGTCATAGTACTACTATGGCTATACCCTAAAGAGATCAAAGAAAGAGGAACAGGACCCATATGTACAAAAATATTTATAACAGCTCTTTTTTGTGGTGACAACTGAAATCTAAGGAGATATTCGCCCACTAATTGGGGAATGCTTGAATAAGTTATGGCATGCAGTGTGATGGAATACTGTGCTATAAGAAACAACAAAGGGCATGGTTTCCAAAAAACCTGGGAATACTTAGATAAATGGATATAAAGTGCAGTTTGTAGAAGCAGAACAATTTACACAGTAACAACAATACTGTAAAGATAATCTACTTTGAAAGATTTAGGAACTCTGTTCAACAAAATGACCACCACAATTCCAAAAAACTCATGATCAACATGCTAGCCACCTCCAGATAGAGAGTTAATGGACTCAGAGAGCAGATTAAAGCACATTTTGAGAGTTTTTTTGTTTCTTTTTTTTTATTATTATGGATATGGCTAATGTGGGAATTTGTTTTGCATAACTATACATATTTTTTTTCTTGCTTTCTCAATGGATGGGGGAAGGGAGGAGGGAGGGACAGAATTTGGAACTGAAAATAAAGTTGAATTTTAAAAATATCATGTCGTGTGGTCAAAGGATACAAGTAGATAAATTTTAAAAGGATATATACATTACAAATAATCAGTTTTAAGATGGCCCTAATTACCAAAGAAATATAAATTAAAATAATTCTAAGGCAACATCTGACACTCACCAAAAAAAGCAGAAATAAGCAAAAATGACAAAACTTAATGCTGGTCAGATTATAA